AATGATATCCATACACACACACACACACACACACACACACACACAATATCTGTATATTTTAGGAAGATGCAGACCAGCGTTTGAGCTTTCCGCTAACCTGCCTGGCAGGAAGTCCTTGTACCTTGACGACATCAGAACCTACCCCTCGGCGGGGCCTTCAGCCTAAATGTTGCCTCTCTAGAAGAGGATTCTCGTAGAAGGCCATGCAGTGAAATTCAGAGATTGTCCTGAAAGGTACAGGGGCACGTTTATAGATGAAGTTTTTACAAGCATATCTTTCCTTTATGTGAAGTGTCTCTCTAGTGCCTTACTGAGGAAGCAGTGGCCCCCTTGTTCCCGGGGTGGGACGGGGGTGCCCCCGGACAGCGCTAACCAAGGGCTACTGAGTCTGCTCAAGCACCGCTGTCCGTTACCCCCTTGTGCCCTCCCCTGGATGTGCCTAGCTTTATGAGGCGCCCCCTCCCACCGCTCCAGCCTCTTCAGGTACCGTGTATCACACATCCGGGTCAAAAACCAGTGTCCTCTTGAGCCGAACGTGAATCTTGTTGCCACGTTGTGGGCTCTGTATTTGCTGAAGAAGGAAGGGGGGCGGATTATCGACCCGGCTGGCTTGAGGGCAGAGCGTGCACCCCAAATTGCAGCCCAGTGCTAAACTCCAGGGGGTGAAGTCGCACTGTCCCTGGGCCTGGTACCCAGGGCATGCCCGTGGCAGAAGTTCATGGTGGGGCAGGGGCACTTGTCAGAGGCAGGGCGCGTCCCACGAAAAGTGATGGAGGTGTTTATCCAGAAACCACTGCCAGACTACACCTTTTTCGCTAGATACCAGCTGCAGCGCCCTCAGTTTTGGAAAGCATTCGCGCACCCTTTGAAAGCCCCCTTTCCCGCAGGAAGTTAAGCGGTGGTCCTCACGGTGGCTGGTTGGAGGGGGACCAGGTGGGCTTCAGGGGTCAGGGCAGTCTGCCTTCATGCCCCGGGTCAAGAGGAAGAGGCCAAGCTGGCTTTCTCTAACTCGTTTCCTCAGAAGGAAAACCGTTCCTCCCCCCGCTCCCCCCAAGCCTGGGTCTACCAGATGGACTTAGCTGATGGCACTAGAGCCACCCCGGGCCCAGAATGCCCAGTGTTTTTGCAGAGTTGAAAGTGACTCCTCTCCCCACACGTAGCAAAACCCAGGGCGAGTCCGCTCCCTGTCCCTGTCTGCCATCCCCATGAATGGTACGTTTCAGAGCATTTTTTTTTTTTCTCCTACATGCAACACAAAGCTTCCAGAACCATAGAACACCATAATGATTACAAAAGAAGATGTTTTCGGGAAACTGCGCTTCCCATTTGCTGTACTATAGAGCTCAGAAGGCCGCGCCGCGTTCTGTTTGCCTGCCTGATCCGTTCGCCACGTTCTCGTACTGAGTACAATGCCTTTGCGTTGCTTTCTTGGTGTTGGAACCCCGCTTCCTTTGCAGCCCTGTTTCCCAAGTTCTGTTCGAGTTAAACTTATGTAAACCCCCCGCAGCACACTGGGTGCGGCACCCGAGTTGCTGCTCCACGCAACGCTGTATTTGGATGCTAATCCACAGATCTGATGAAATTGCTTGTATCAGTAATCAATAGTGGCATCGATGACATTCTGAAAAGCTGCAATACTTATACAATAAATTTTACAATTCTTTGGAACGAGCTTTTTTCATTTCTTTGGCTGTGTTGCTTCCCCCCAGCCCCACCACTGCCCCCAACAACCACCCCAAAGGTTGTGCATTTAGTGGGCAGGAAGCTATCCCTTGGAGCTGCTGTGTGGCCTTGGAAAATCCGTTCCACCTCTGTTTAGTCCAAGCACGGTGCCTGGTGAAAACATTGGACCAGACAGTGCTTTTAATAAAAGGGGCAGTTACTGGGGTTAAGAGGGTTTGCAAAGCATTGCATACAGTTTCTCCCTCTTGGAGGATCATTATTCACTGTAGCATGATGAATGTTCTGATAAGGTCTGCAAGAAAGAAACTGCCTTCAGTGGGGTTCTCCCGGAAGCAAACCCTGACACATAATAGATTCGTACGCAAGGGATGTATGATGGATGCATTCCCAGGGGAAGCAGGTAAGGAAGTTGGGGAAGCAGGACAGAAGGGGGGTATCCCGAGCAAGGGGGCAGTTTTAGGCAAGGTCCCTACCTCAGCCTGGAGCATTTGAAGCTGGTGCAAGGTGCCAGGCATTAGCAGACAAGCATGTGGAAACCGGGGGTGGGACACAGCCCCTAAGAGGGATTCACAGGGTCTGGGAGACCCACAGTGCCCACTACAGAAACGGTCTCATTTATCTCTAAAGGGAACCATCTTTAATGAGTGATCAAAGTAAAACATCCGCCAATACAGTAACGCCAGAGATGACACCGTTTGTCCCTAGCCCCAGGGCTTCCTAAAGCGTTCCGGACCACCAAAAACCAAAAGCAAACTTGTTGCCATCGCTTCGATTCTGACTCATGGCGACCCCATTTGTTGCAGAGTAGAACTGAGCTCCATAGGGTTTTCTTGGCTGTCATCTTTACAGAAGCAGATTGCCAGGCCTTTCTTCCACAGCACTGCAAGGTGGGTTCAAACCACCCACTTTTAGGTTAGAAATCCAGTCCAAACCACTTGCGCCTCCAAGGCTGCCTTCTCTGGACCACAGAGCCCTGTAAACATCCCGCTGGTAAAATAGAGTAGCCCACTGCCCCGAAGCAGAAAAACTCAGCACCCGTCTGCCTGCCTTCTTTTCGAGGGGAAGAACCCCAGAGGTTACAGAGAACTGGGGAGAAAGCACAGGTCCAGCCCATCACCACCTTCTTCCATGGAGAGAACAGGGGCCCCCATGCTGAACACCAGCCAGGCTCCGGGATGCCAGCCTTCTACCAGCGGTCACTGCCCCAGCTAAGCCTCAGTCTCCTCATCTGTAAGATGGGTGGATGACAGCGAGATCATGCCTGTGGGCCCTCAATAGGCCCACACAAACATTAGCCGCTTTTACTAATAAAATGGGCTTCCAGGCGAGGTTTTACGTTATAATCAAATGCCCTTGAACCTTCTCGATCAGTTCCCACGTGGCCAAATGCAGCCCTTGGTCACTGGACATTTGAGGATCCTTACCCTAGAGAGAAGTAGGGGCCTCCACTGAATTTGGCTTGTGGTGCCCAAGGAGCTGCTGGGACCCTGCCATCATGTCCCGTCCTCTGAGGAGGTGCCCTGCTCTGTGTCTCTCCTGGGCCAAGTGCACAGATGGCATCCCTGTCCCAGGCCCCTTCACTGTTCAAGTCCTCGTGC